AGGGAGGGGGCGGGGCCTCATGGAAGGGGTGGAGTGGGGGCAGAGCCAGGGGCGGGAGTGAGGGGTCGAGCACCCACAGGAAAGCGGGGAAGTCGGCACCTATGATTAAAACAATCTCACAGGAGAAGACTGCACTCTGCCAGACGGCTATTTGTGTTTATGGGAGCTCCCTGTATTGCCTTGCACTATCACTCCTCCCGGATCGGTTCTAGAGCACCAGAGGGGCAGTACTCCTGCCTCTCCGGCGCACGGACCACGTTCTCCAGCCAGAGGATCAGATTGCAGTGGATGTACTTTGACTTTGGTGGTAGAAGATCAGGGCCTCAGAATTTCAGAGATGAACAAACCTCTCCGAAGAGGTGGGCTGCAAATGTCCCCCATCCAAAAGCAGAGCGGCTCCAGGCTGAGATTTTCGCAAAGCGGCTAGTGATTGTGAGGCCTGGATGTTGGGGTGCTCAGCTGGAGACAGCTGAAGGGGCAGGAAGTGCCTAGCATCTGCCCTTTGGGCATCAGACTCCTTCAAAGAGTCTCAGGTTGAGCACCCAAAATCACGAGTCACTTTTGAATTCCTGGTGTCTCGTTTTCCTTCGGATGAAGTTTCCCTTTTTAAAGATCAGTCCTTGCATCAGTCAGGCCCAGCGGCTCAGAGCACCTGTGAAGCACTTACCTGTGTTTCTTAATTAAGACGCACTCTCCTCCATCTTGAGGGTCTAGGTTGTAGATGTAAAGGTGTCCGTCTGATGTTGTAACTAAGAGTCGTGGCAGCTTCTGAATCCTAATAAGAAACGAAGTGATGGATCTCTGTGCTAGCAGGGCACTGTGGGAGGAATGCGGAGCTGGGCGGCTCCACCAGGGGCGCTTGCCTGCCCTTCAAGTGGTAGCACATGGAATTACAGCTATGGCCAGGGTCTGACTGCTATCCTCACATACATACCTCGCACATTCCCGCTGCCCTAGATCCCCCATGATGGGCAGTGCACACCCTGCACTGGAGCAGAGAGACAAGGAGCTAAAGCCCTGCAAGTGAGGCCAGGCATGGGGCGTGCCCGACCCCATCCAACCCGGGTTACCTGTAGTGTAGACATAGCCTTAAAGGGTCCACTCACGGGTTTGCATTGGTTTAACTAACCAATACAGATAGGTAAGTAGACAAGACCTAAGTGATCACCCAAAGTTAAGGAAGGGCTGTGCAGATGACCTAATCTGTACCTCCACCTTTGCCTGCCATATCCCTTGAGTGGACTGCCGTAGGTAACCTATGTGCAGTAAATGCACCTTCAACAAGCTAATACACCCCCCCTTCTCTGCCTGTGCCACATCAGGAAACAATCCAGTTGTGTTGTGTGTCTGTAGCACCCTTTGCCAGCTGATGGGGTGAAGAGAATGCAGATGTTCCAACCTACGTGGAGAGCGTGCAGATGTTCCGTTGTCCAGAGAAGTTCAAGCGCACAGTGGCAAAGGCTCGGTCCTGGTTCATCATGTCCGACACTTGAGCAGGGAGGTAGTTGGTAGCAGCCATAAACATCTTTCCCATGTAACCACTCCAGGTGGGAGGCTCTTCTGGACGGCTGGGAATAATAAAACACCAGTCACTGAGGCTATGTGCAGTAGCTACCACAACTAGCATCAACAAAACAACAGAGACCAGAGCTAGTTAAAATGTACATACAAATTAAAACAACCGTACAGGCATCTTCCTTTTGCCAGTTGAATCACAGGAGTTCCCTCAACAGTCTTTGCATAACCCCCCTTACCCAATACCCATGACTTGCTTGCACCAAGAGAAAAATGTCCTGCTGGTAACTTGTGCAAACCCTCCACCCCCCATTCCCGCCAGAGAATGACTTGCAGGATTGGAGTGTTAGATATGGCCAGTAAAATGGAACCTGCTTTAATGCAGGCTTGCTAAAGCGTAATTCAAATGGACCAGCCCAGACAGAAAATCTACTCCCCCACCTTCGCTCCAGGGAGGATCATGGGAAAAAATTAACACTTTACTCGCCTGTCCAAAAACCAAAACAAGTTACTTTCCATGGGCGGCGGGTGACCTGGCCATTGGGGGAGGCTAGTCCTCGGCCCCTCCCATTGTGTCCAAGGCCCCGTCCCTCCCTCTCCCCTTCTGCCCCTGCAGGAGCCTAGAGCACCCCCACCGCAGTCCCAGTTCCAGCCCCAGCGCTGGGTGGCACAGTCACAGTGCCCCCAGCCCCGGTGCCAGGCAGACAGCGCTGCCCCAGCACCAGCCGCCAAGCCCCTGCGGGAGGCAGGCCAGCCAGCCCCAGCCCCAGCCAGCCTGGGCCAGGGCAGAGCACCAGGAACTGCAGGAGGGGAGTCTGGGGTGGGGGGTGTAGCATGGGCAGGTCATGCCAGGCTGTTTGTGGGGGCACAGCCCCCCCCAGCCTATGATACTCACCGCCCATGTTACTTTCCCTGCGTGAGTAGAGTTTTGCAAGGTTCACTTGAACAGGGGGCACTTAGAACCAAGGGCCTGTGAGGCTTTAGGGGCATGCAAAGGGGCCAGTTAGCCTGGCTAGCTCAATTCTGGCCTGTTGTAAGTGGGTGCAACTCCTATTGACTTCAGTGGGATTCCAGTGCTTATTACTAGCCTTGAATATGGCCTGTTCTAGATGACTGGATTTGGAAGCTACCTCTTCTATAGCTATTTTCACCAGTAGATCTCCAAGTGCTTTACAGACAGTACAGCATTTACAGGTATCATTAGCTCCTGTATACAGAGGGGGAAACCGAGGCACAGAGCGACGACGTGATTTGCCCAAGGTCACCCAGCAGGCCAGTGGCAGTGCTAGGAACAGAACCCCAAGTCACCCGAGTCCCAAACCAGTGCTCTGTCCAGTAGGCCACACTGCCCCTCCACAGCTTGATTTAAAACTGCACTAGTCCCGTCAGATCTGCATGGGGAATGTGTCTCCGAGGACGGTCCTCCTGCTGGCGGGCGATGCCAGGCAGAGAGCACTATGGAGCCCGCAATGTGAGAATCCCCACCCTTATGGCAACATGCAGACAGCCTGTTGTATGGCAGGGAAGCTGTCCTCACCGTGCTGGTCTGTACAGACAGCTTCTATGGGAACTGCGACACCAAGCCCTCTCTGCAGACTGCAGGGGAAAGACCTCATTTGCAACCTCTGCCCTGAAGGCCACCTCAGAGCAGATCCTCGGCGACGGATTAGCAGTGTTTTTCTATTCAGATTTAAACATTCCCCTTGCTGGGGCCGAGGCTTGCAGCCAACGTGTTCCTGCAGTGGATTCATCTAGAGTACCAGCTGGGGCAGCAAGTTGTAACAAGAAGTGCCCACAGGTGGTGGAAATGCTTCCAGCAGGCAAACTCCATGAACTTGATGGCCAGCTAATCGCTTTGCTGCCTGTGGTGGGACCCTTCTCCCTGCGTCCAGCCACAAGCACAGAGCAGCTCCTTAGCAACGCTGCTTGGATTTGCCATAGCAACTCCGACGTCAGCAGCATCCTGCCGAGAGGGGGGGACCTTGCTGGATACGGCCAGACACTGGCAGGGAGGGCGGGAAGCTAGAGGTGAGCCTGGGGTGCTGACATCACTTGCCAGCCAAAGGCAGGAGAGAGCAGAGAGCTCTTCAAAGCAGCAAGTCCCTCAGGCTATTAAGCCAAAAGGGCAGTTTGCTGCCAGTGTCACGGAAGGAAAAGCACGAGGCCTCGTTCACGCTAACAGTAACGTGTGCTCGTTCCCCTCTGGGGCACATGGCTTAGCTCAGAGCCTCTCACCTGTCAGTGGTATGTTCCAGTTTAAAGATGTGCACGGTCTCGGTGTTACTCGAAGCACACAGGAACTGCGAGTCCATACTGAACACGAGAGAGCTGATGTTCACGTACCTAGGGCAGAGAAAACAAAGGGCCCGTCACCGAACGGCGCACAACCAAAAGGGACACACCGCAGCAGCCACACCCGGCCAGCTGTAAATCCTCTCCACTGACGGAAGAAGACCCAGAAACTGGCGATCTGGTGAGACATTTTGCCCAAGTAGGCCCTGGCTGCGCTGCCAGGGAAGCCCCGTTAGCAATGTTTTAGCACGGACCATGATTTTGGCTGGTCGGGCTCAACACAACCCTAGAGTGGAGACGTGGCCTTGCCCCATTACTAGGGCAGGAGCAGCAGAAGCTCCCTAAAAGTGAGGGGGCCACTGGCACCTGAACCGCGGCCCCGCCCCCTGGGCTGCCCCTTCCCGAGGCCCCACCCCCCGCATTGCCCCTTCCCCCCAAACCCCTC